CCTCCAGCAACTAGAAAGTCGCTAAAGGCGGCAAAACTATTATAAAAAGCTTTTCACACCTTGGAGGAAAAAGTCCTGCAAAATGCAAAAATGCCACCGCCCATCAAACCCGACCCTTGGTCCCGTGCCTGTGAAGCGTCACGCTTACCTCCACTCCAAGCCGCCACTGCTATGCTGGCGGCGACCATGGCTTATGTGCTTTTCCCCTGTTGAGTGCTCTCCGGAGACCACCTCCATAACTTCGCTCAGAGGATTGTTTGGCAGATTTTGAATGCAAATTTGAAATCAGCATCAAAAAATACGTTTAGAAGTATAGGTCTCATTTCAAATGGCCACTTCGACTTGGGATCCTTCCCTTGTAAGTTCTGTTTGATCAAGGTGTTCGCACCCACCTGTCACCAGCTTCTTCAGGATCTCTCTTCTGCAACATGTAACGATACAAGGCATTCGTAATGGCACTCCGTCCTTCGCTTAGTTTCGGTTTGGAAATCGCACTGACATCGTCGGCGTCTAGAAAGCCATTTTTTTATTCCTGAGAGCGAAAGCTCAAAGTATAAGCTATGAGTATTGCTAGCCAAAGTTTAAGCTGAGATTATTGCTCGTGGTGTTTCTTCATCCAATATTTTCAGAAAAAAAACCGAGTAGGCTCTTTATCATCAAACGTGATGCTTTGCGTTGAGAAGAAAGCTAGGCATCGGGAAGAATACGAAAAGAAGTACGAAGAAATCGAAATGAACTCGAGGATATCGAGGGCTCGAGCATAAGCGAACCTGGATTCAGAAAGAATATTGTCTTGAAAGCGGCAAATTCGGTAAGATCGATCCCCATCTCGCGCATAGGTTTCAACAATTGGTCGAGCATCTGATATTTCTTTCGATTGAATCCGACTGGCCTGAAAAGATCAGAAGTTTTTGAATTCAACTAAAATCCATTTGCTTAGGTACTCTGGTTGAACATTATAAGGGAGGGATCGTTGTCTAGGATGCAATTGGAGCTTCTGTGGTCAATGTAATCGAAATTTGTATTCTTAAACTTTTGCAACCTACAAAAACCTCAATATTTCTTAGCAGTTCAGCAGCGCTGCACGCTTATGTATAACAGATATACAAGGTTGAATAAACTGCTTGGGTTTGAACACGTACCTTTGCGGTTCATTGGTCCTATCGAAGAAAGCTCCATTCGGAAAAACGATGGTGTCAGGACCGTGATCAGGAGAAAAAAATGTGTGGATCAAACTGGGATACGTAATAGCGGAGTGTCTCAGAAGAGCCAACTGGAAGAAAGTACATAAATATGAGCCATAGTTTTTAGGTGTGTAGCCTGCTCAGTTTTTAACTCTTCCATCATCTTACAATCGCTTCTATCGACTCCCACTTAATTGTCTTTGTGGGACCTCCCTAACTCTCAGTTGGACACACTCTTTTCCTCTTTTTCTTCACAACAACTGAGCATTCTTCTGTAACTCATCGTCTTCTGGTCTTTTTCTTATTTACGTTTGTAACTTCCTTCTCCCTCTATATCACTCTTTCCCTTTAAGTTGGCTGCCCTTCTTTCCGTCTTCGCCAGAACAATGGTGTCAGAACCATGATCAGAAGGAATTACTGAATAAAACAAAAAGCAATTCCTTTTAGGTTAAGTAAAACTTTCATAATGTGGAACACTCTCTTACGGACCAGATCTCATAGGGGTTTCTAGTTTGACTCTAATCATCAATATCAAACTGAAATTCTCCTCAACTTTGGCGGGTTGCCTTTGTTGGAAACTACTGTACCTTGTCAGGCAGTGGCAGCTGTTGGTATGCCGGTATCGACTTGGCCCATTCGATCATCACAAACCAATCGCGCTCATGCCAGTAATGATAATCCGATTGAGTGACGTAAGTGAGTTTAGTAAAAGTGTGCTCCGGTGCCTAAAAAGTCACTTTTGACCCTTTAGTTCGATGTCGAGCTATCTAGAAGCGATGGAAAAATGGAAAGTATCCTATTGTGGTCTTGTATAGAAGTGATTCGCAGTTTTTTTTTTTGCCTGAACCCCAGGGTATTGAATTTGGGGTTAAAGGCGCTCTTACATAACAAAAGTGATGGTATAATCATCTTTGCTTTAATTCGTCCCTCTTCAGGTAACGACCGCCCCGAAAGAGGGAATTAAATTAGTGGGTTCTCTGCAAACGACAATTACCTCGACGAAACTTTTTCAAACTGAATCGAAAGCATGATAAAAATGTCATACTGAATATACCTACTCTTGGGCCATACTGTTATATCCCCCCTATTTTTTGCTAATTCTCCTCCATCACTGAGAGAAAAACTACTGGTACCTAGCCAGTGGACGATTCAGAATCATCTACTGGTAAGATTTCAAGAGTCTCCACTCAATGCCCAGTACCATTGAATACATTGATTATAATAAACAAGTAGAAATCAGTATTCAGTTCAAGTTTTCGCTTACCACTTCCGAGTTTAATGCCATGAAATTCTCGTCGGCCAAAAGGCACGGAGAGGTGACAGCTTCAATGAGATGGCTGCTGGTGGTGAACCGACTGAGCCGTAACGTTTGAGCCAATCCCTCAACCCGAGTCAGATACATGAGAAACGCGTCCTCTGCCGATTCGTTCGGGTTCTATAAGACATGTCATGATGTACAAAATAACCAGTAAAAAGACCAACAATACTAAGTCTGAAAATGGAAAAAATAAAAATATATATACAGAAAGGCAAAAATTGTACCAGGAAAACAAAATTTTCAAAAATCAACAATTAACGTAATGAAACTGACCACTACGCTGCTTTTCGGAGAACATTCCTCGGAACTCTCGGCTCTTTTAACGAGAGGATATCGCCGTGTCCGTTTCGTATAGCCAATAGGATCACGATTTTGTTGAATAGCTAAAACAGGAAGATATAGAGGAAGTTGTAAGAGAAGCTAAAACTTCACATTAAGACCGAGTTTCCTTGAATAAGTTTCACATAAATGAACTGGCTGCGCGATGTCTCAAAATACCATGTAAGCTTCTTGGGATTTGGAGTAATCAAATCAGCGAACGTCTTTCAAGGCTTGAAAGATCGTTCCTTCAGAATTAAACGGGAACATCTTGAAGAATATTTGCTTTAAGGTTGATCTTGCTTGCAACTCCCACGTGGTGCTCTGGGAGGTCTCGAACTTCTGTAGGGGTGGAGACTTTTGAACTAATATCCGCAAATTGTTTTGATCCACATTCAGGCTCTGAAGAAGGCGATATCGCCGAAACGTTAGCAAATAAATTTTATAACAACCTCGTGGGAGTTTCAAGCAAGATCAACATCAGTTCACAACAATACCGAGGTTAATGGAAGCCAGAACGAGGAGATTTGCTCTAATTTTTTTCCCAAGCAGTTTACATAAAAAAGAGTTGAAAAAATCTGGGAGAGGAATTAACTGATAAGCATCGAGATAAAGAAACTTAAGCGAGTGGCAGTGGTTGAACGATTGAAAGATGATGGTTCAGTTATTAAAGCTCATTCGTCTAGCAAGTTTATCAGTTGAAAAAGCAGAGGAGAACCTCAGCCAAACTAGGTCTCGAGCGATCCTTGAAGGAACTCACCGTTTCGGTCCATTCCAACTTGAAGGCATTTTTGAAAACGGCAGTGACGACAAGCACATCGAATACCTCAAAACAACTTGGATCTACATTCAAAGTGCGTTTGAAATATTAATGATCAACAGGGATTGATAATATATGTCTCAGAGCGGAAAACGGAACTGCAAGGTTGAGATCCTAGTCACAAAATGAAAACACTGAATCGTCCCCTTTGCAAATAGATGCTACCTTTCCCTTGCTCATCATATCTCCCTACTTCGTTGAAAATCAGCTAGAGAAGAAGATTGTTTCACCACAACTTTCGCCTTTTTCCTTCCTTAGCGGGCCAAAGGACACCTGCGTGGAATAGTTATTCTTTCAAACCCGAATCCATCACACCTCTCTTTCGCCCACACGGCATATGCCTCTCATTCTTGGGTGGCCTAGTACAAAAAGTTAGGGAGGCAATCACTAAATGTTCCGTGGCCCAAAAATGATGTCACATCTCCGGATAGGGTGTCAAACGTCTTCAGATGGGATTCTGCACGCATACTTAGGATGTCGTGGTCAAGGTTTGTTGTTAATATTTACAAATTACCTAAAACCAAGAACTGACCCGAAAAAGGTGTTATAAGAGGAGTCATAAGAGGACAAAGACCTGATCTTCAGAGAATACATTTGTTTTAAGACATTAAAAGAAAGATCTTGAAGAGAAACAGATTCAAAAATGGTCAAACTTGAAAAACTCACTTTTATCTACGGGGCACTTCCCTTCGTACTGGCACACAAAGTTTTGATTTTTCATAATTGTCCTCCGGAAGAATGTCTTGCTGGAAAAAGTTACCCTTAGACATATGAAACTATAAGAATCGTATAGACTTTAGCTTATTTTTGTCAACTCATCCACCTAAAAGATTAGTAAATTCTTGGGAAAGGGTCTCGAAAGAAAGTGACGGTCTATGACCAGCTAGTGGAAATAGAAGCCAAAATAAGTCATTAGGAAAAAGTGATTTGTAATCAGAGGGGATGACTATTTATGGTACAAACTTCGGATTACTTATAAATAATAAAGTTTCTGGGTCTATTCAATCCCGTTTAGGATGCGCCCTCTCACTCGACTTCCACTCAGAATTGCAATGGTGTGACCGGCTACTTCTCTCATTCCCCAAGATGGGTTTGGTGCCAAATAACCGATCAAAGAAATGGAAGACCTGGTTAGCCCTATCTGGTATACTATCCCCGGATCATGAGTGTTTAAAAGTTCACCACCTGCCACTACGCCACCTCCGCTCAGGTTTCAAGTTAACAGGACAGTCTTCCTAAATTTGAACTTAACAAGGTAAATCGGTAGGGATTGGAACCGAAACAGAACCGACTTGAAAAGCTGCCAAGACCATCGGTACTCCTTCCTAGGTTTGTTTTCATCACCAAAACCTTTGAGAAGAGCAAAAAGCCGCCTGGAGTCGTAAGCTTCCCAACATATTACTGCATTATGTTCCTCAATGCATTAGAACGTCTTTGAAGGAAGGTGACCGAAAAGAAAAGTGGTTCTTTTTTGTCGTGTACTTTGTTCAACCTCAGAACGCCTTATGAGGCTGGGTCATGGTCGCACCACTAAAAGCACAGCGTACTTCAGAAGCTTGGCACACGGCAATAATAAAAGGGTATCATGTTGCATGTCGACTTAGCGCCTACTCTGGCACTGCTGACAGTCTACCAACTTACTCAATATTTAACAATCTCTTAATTCTCACAAGATCGGCGAGTTAAGGGCGAAAATCCGGTTTCGGACGAGATTCGAACCCGTACTTGTTCTTCCCGGACACGGTGCTCTTTACCCCTTGCCCTACACCGGAACCCGATTGCCCTCGCCTTCTCAATGGCTTATAGCATAGCTTATTAGCACTCACATGTACATGTTGAGCCCAGCTCAAAGCCTACAGCTTAACCCTTCAATGCTGGTATTGGCTGACTGGCTCAATACGTTGTACGTGAATGTGTTGAACTCTATGGCATATAAGCCATTAAGAAGATGAGAGAACCGTGGTTTAAGTAGTGTAAGCTGTAGGGAGCGCGGTGCCCGGATGGTCCAAATACGGGTGTTCGCGTGATGCCCGAGGCCGAAGCATCGCCCATAACTCGCCAACCCTGTAAGGCGCTCGGATTGCTTACTGCGGTGTTATAGTCTAAACAAGCCCTTAAAAACATATCCTACGGCAGCCTATTCCTCTGATGGATGTAGCCGTCCTCATAGTATTACAAAAACTGACCATCCATTACATGACGGTACGCCGTAGTGATAGCCAGTCGAGATATCCTGACAGACAAGGCACAGTTCTTCGGGCTGTGACGCCATTGAGGTACTATTGGTCATGCTGAAATGTGTTCTGTTTAATTATGTGAATAGGAATCCGAAAAAATTGCCGTCATTGAGCAAAATCAATCGGGAAAATCATGAAATACCACAAAAATCACACGAAACATACATGAGACTTTCCGACCAGAGATTGAAAAAATAATCTCTGAAGTTGTTCAATTTTTGAGTAATAGCAAATTAAGCTTAACCTGGGTAAGTTTGGAAACTTCGAATCACTTAGTCTGGGTGAATGACTAAAAATCTATTCAGTGTCAAAATGTAATAAAGGACGAACAGCTTTCCGGATCGTGAGCGCAAAATTCGATCCATACAGTGACTTTTAGAGGAGAGGCATGTAATGTACATGTCTACTAGACATGTCTGTCTGTCTACATTTCAGTCTACTAGACATGTCAAAGAACCAATGGGCTAATTTTGAAAGGTATTGTTTATTTGGGCCGCAAGAGCCAAATAGACAATACCGGTTTGGAACTTGGCTCCAACCTTCTGCATATGTTAGAGACGCTTAGCATTACTTAATCTCTGTTTCATTCGAGGAAAGACCTGGCATACAATATGTACCCTAGTGGTGAGAAACCTAATGGGACAACCCGTAAAACACAGTTCTTTAAATACGCTACTCACCAATCAGTGTTATGGTCAAAATTGAAGATGGTGACAGCGACGGAAATTCTCCCTATTATTCACAAAATCGATTGTTACTACAACTAGAACTATCTTCCAGTAGAAATATCTCTGAATGTTTGATGAGTGTGGTAAACGAGATGATTTAGAAGCTATATTTACAAGGTGAAAATTCTGATTCATTCTGAAAAAGGTTTTTTGAAAGCAGTAACGAATTTGAAAACAGTAGCTGTCGAACACACACCATATTTATGGTGATTGAATCGCATTAGTCGGTGTTAACGCAAAATGCTGGTCGACTGGTTTTGTTGAGAGCATTGCTTACAAATTCACTCCGGGGTGCTTCCTGTATAACTTTAGTGACGACCACTAGCGCAATAATACAGCGGAAGGAGGTCCCAGTTTAGAACGGAATGATTTCAAAAGTTTTAAAACACAAGCACGTTACATATAATTTGTCGCCAGTTCTATTTGTTGACGGGTTTTTACATTTTTACAATGGAGTCAGTACTGTACTGTATAGGGTCCACACTTGGCTAGCTCATCGCTACACAATGAAGACTTTAGCAAAAATCCACAGATATAGATTTTAGCTGCTAGTCGACTAATTTACTTTTTCATGTAAGTATTCCGTTAGGCTTAGCTTGTCAAGCTTCACTAAATGGCCTTTGTCACAGTTGTCACAGTCGCAAGAATATCGCTGCACTGGGGCTTGAGTTCGTCCAGACTACTGTATAGTGTCCACACCTGGCTGTAAAGGCTGAACAGGCTCCGCAAAAGCTCCACACCCAAGCAATCACTAATATCACATCCCACGTCGACATGCGCGGGAGTAAGAGGAGCTGCTCCTGAGCTCAATTTCGTTTCCTGAAATCTACCACATCCCATAGGTAATCTCGCTGCCTGTCAAAGAATAAATGTGTATCGATCTTTGAGTATTGTCAACATAGCTTTTTTTGTGAGCCATAAAAAAAAAGAGAAAACCGAAACCTGTTTGCTTGCACCCCATTTTGAGTCGAGCTCCAAAAACGATGACCATCGCATGATGATGGCCAGACCAACGTTTCTTCCATCTCTGATCACTCTATTGTACTATTTCTTTTGGACTTGTGAAGAAGATTGTTTTTTTATATGAAAATTAATACGAAGGAACAGTTTCTCGCTCGGGTTAATTATCAATTTGGGGATGGGTGGTAGTATAATATCGCTCATTGTGAGAATGACTGGGCGTCAGGAGCAGCGCTTTGCGTCGTGGCCAAAGAACCAAATAGATACCAAATAGCTTCAACATTGTGGTGGATCAGTGCCTTAATGAAGGATAAAGGATAAAGTTTTGGGCGTTGATCAGACATTTTTAAGGGAAGCGCCCCTCCTCCCCCACCCGTATCTGACTTCCATTCGGAAGCGTAATGCGTATTGAATGCCTGTGTAGCCTATACAATGACTTCCGATGGCCAGCGGTTGTACAAACCAGTGCTTTTACCCTACAGACGAGCCTAGCAGCAATCATTCCATCCTGGGGTGATGAAAGGATTGTGGGCCTCGGCGGATATCATTCTGGAATTCGAGTCCGTGACCGTACTTGTGTGATAGTGCGCCACTTGACACCACACCACCACACCCCATACCTCCTACCTTCATATCGTAGCCAAAATTTCAATTACAGAACTTGTAGGGAAGCTGTGCTCATGTAGAACTTAAAGGTGACATTCCCAATGTGAGAGGGAAACAATTGAAAAATTCAAGAAGTGAAATGGTGATCATAACGGAGAACACTTTCACAAGTCGGGTCACACCTTACTCACTCGCTCGGTTTAACTCGAATGTCAGTACTGAGAGGGAGATTGAGGTTGTCCTAGATGATTTACAAAACACGGGTGATCCAAGGCTTTTCACGCCGAGATCATTCGAAACGTAGTCACAGGCTAATGAAGTACTGACGGAATCACTCCGAATTATGGACACAAAAAACAGCAGGACTACCAGACTGTGGGTTGAAACGTCCCTGCAACAAAAAAGGTTCATATATTCAAGGAAAACGACAATGAAGTTATAGAGAAAATGGTAGTCAGTCCCTTTACCACCAGAGCAACGGCAGCATTCTGGAGGCGTATACTGACTAGGACGAATTGGGTGGTTAAATGCTTCATTCAACCCTCAAGGTAGATACTACGGACCTTCCTCATATCCCTGGTATAGTTTCCTACGAGTATTCGGATCTATTACACAAGAAGAGAAAGAAGCTAACGAACAGTGGCAATACGCAGAAAGAAGGAAAGAAACATCCAATTCGTCCAAAAACTGGTCCCAATGACAGTTGTAAAATGTCAGATCGGCAGTTGGGAAATGTCAGATCCTCAAAAAAAAAGGCTTAGTTAAGACAACAGCTTAAGTTCACTTAATCAACGTTGGTGAAGGGTTTTCCTAATAATACAGGGATGTAATAGCATTAAACAAATTCATCGTGACAGCCAGTGACAACCAAACTGGGAACATTGCCTGGTGGTGTCATAATCATACAGGAAGTGCATCAATTATCATCACGTTGCGGGTTTTGATTTTAAAAAGAATTCCCGATAAAAACGAAACAATCGATTGAGAAATTCTGCATTTAGAGAAAGGTCACCATTCTCCTGTATGGGTCCATACACACTCTTGGTTTGGCCCTGAAGGAACCACAGATGGGATTTTAGGGACTGGAGATTTGGCATATGTCGCTTAGTGTAGAAGGAAAACCAAATCCAGTAGTAGATTGTAGAATCATGCAGGAAGATCCACTCAAATGAGTGGTCACTCCATAAATAATTCATTTTCAAGCACCTTCATTTTCCGAGGTGAAGACAGGTACAAATTTTCTGATAAAAGGGTTGGTTGGAGAGCGCGGTTATGGTGTCAACCCATGGACATGGAGAAGACCTTGCATAAATGGCCCCAGTGAAGGATTCGATCATGGGACCACGTGTGCGGTAGCAAACCAAATAATACAGCCCCTCTCTTCTCCACCCTATGAGACCCTTGCCCTGCACGGCACACTTTCTGGCACTGTGAAAACCTTGCATAACGTCCTTAGTGATGGAGTAGAGTCCTTCAGCGTACTAAAATGATGAGTTGTGACTATGAGGGATGGCGTTTTCAGTACTACCGTAAGATGCAGCCAATTAATTTTCAACGAATAAGGCATTTCTTTGAACTATGGGGATTCATGGGCGGAGGTGGTGTAGTGGCAAGTGGCGCACTATATCACACGCACGGTCAGGGGNTCGAATCCCGGATCGATGCCCGCTTAGACCATCCAAGCCTTCCATCCCTCCGGGGTCGGTGAATTGGTACCAGACTCGTCTGGGAGGATAAAAGCACTGACTTGTACATCGGCTGGCCACCGCAAGTCATTGTATAGGCCACATACGCACTCATTACGCCACTACGATTCTGAATGGAAGCCGAGTGCGGGGGCGCATCCCTCAGACGGGATTGATTAACGACAAAAACTTTATCCTTTATTTATCCTTTATGGGGATTCATGAAAATGGATCGAAACGATAGTGCACTACAAAAGCAACTAATAGAAACTGGTAGATAGATTTTTCGTGAATCCCATTTACCCAAAGCCCAATTTATTCACCCAAGATGTAGGAACAGATATGGACTTTATTTCAACTGAAAGGCGAGGACGGAAGAAAGGGCGAAAGAAGTCTTCACAAACCACACACAAACACCAACTAGTAAAAAAGCGTTTGGCAAGCAGCAGTCACAAATCACACTGGGAAGGTGTGACGTGACGTGACTATCGTCAAAATATGTAGTGGTAAATTGGCATTCAGTTATTCCTAACCTATATTTTTGGGTAACTACTGTTTTGAAGGTCTAAATAGACCTTCTCCTCCTATTTTTAGAAGTACTTTATAAAGGCCTTAATTATATAAGTTCAGCTTTAGGTTACTGCATAGATGTCCGACGTTTCCTGGGACGGACACGATTTCCATGGGTCATTGCTATTTTAACGACACCACGCGACGGTTAGCAACAGTTATCTAACATAAGGACGTCCCTGGTTGTTATCTTAAGTTCGAGCTAAATTCCTCTCTTTATTGGGAAAGACCCCTGTCCAGGATGCGCCATGTATTTTACTTCCAAGCGCGTCCAAGAGTTATTAGATCGGGCAAGAAAGTTAAAAAGTGCCCCAAAATCATGAAGAATAATAGCCTAATTAGAGTGAACGTAAGGGAAATCGAAAGAAAGCCGATTGAAAATGTAGATGGAGAAAGCTGTGAAAATACTGATCCATTTTCATGAATCTCCATAGTCAAAGGAATACTTTTTTCGTTAAAAATTAATTGGCTGTTTTAATATTACTGAAAACGCCATCCCTCATAGTCACAACTCATCATTTTAGTAAGCTTAAGGACTCTACTCCATCACTATGTAGGGCCGCTATGCAAGGTCTTCACCGTGTTGTACCAGAAAGAGTGCCGTACAGGGCAATGGGTCTCGTAGGGTGGAAAGGGGCTGTATCATTTTGAGGTGTAGCTGTAGAAACTATTGTGATGAGTTTGCAACTGACGAGCTCTTAAAGGGATACATTCATGACAGCACTACGCAGTGAGTATAAAGGTACTGTAGGGTGAACTTCAATGAACCTAACCAGTTTTTGCCCAGTACTCGATTGCAGGAATGTTTAAAAGGCTGAACTTCATCAATTGGTCCTAGGCTTTCTTGTTGTCTCTTACACACCGTAAAAAAGCAGGGTAGCAATCAACTCTAACGTACCAATCAACCCGTTGCTAAGTAGAAAACGACAATCATATAGTATGTTGGTTCTCTAACTATTTTTCAGAATTCCCATAAATCTCTGAACGACAAAGGCTGCGATGTTTCGTGGAGTACCCTCTTCAGAAATTAATTTTGAAGGGTTAACAAATCAGTGGTCAACGGGGCAGCTACTTCTGTTCATCATAATAGAGAGCATATGGGTTCCATTTTGGCTCAGTAATAATCAGATCGTCTATTTCTCAATGATATACTATCGAAGATAGAAGAAAACCCTGAGCTTGCCCCCGAATTTCCACGGAGCTACTATATATTCAATAGCGCTTAAGCTTGCTAATAGCTTGCGGAAAACCAGAGTATGACGACATAACCTGAAGATTGAATTCGGGAAAAAAGTTGTCAAGGGTGATACGAAATAAGGGAGATTTTCGATATTTGATGAATTGACAGTTGTTGTTCAAGAACCCTAATGAAAAGAAGTTTCTAACGACTCGTTCACCTATGTTTCAAGTAAGGAGTAGAATCTGGGGAAAGCTACTTCCCCGAGATATTCCTTCATCGAAGTTCCTAGCGATTCAGTAATGCTGTTCGATTAGCCAGTAAACGATTAGCCACAAATGCAAAGTTAGTATCAACACGGACGAGTGCTCAAAAAAACGCTTGAGAAGGAAAAATCATTAATTTGATATTGATTAATGAAGAATTTAGCTCAGTGATGCAGAATTGATCAGATCGAACCCGTAGACCAGCTGACGTGGGGTAGAACTCGATCTGGGAGTTGATTGTGAGATTACGCGACACCCTGCGTCTCTGCGCCACTGCCACACTGTGTTGACAACGGCGTAGAGCGGAGGACTTTCTCGCCTGTCCCCATCGCGCCCCACACCTGTCGGTCTGCGGTGGTCGTTCACGTGAGAGACATTAGATAAGAGTTTGATTGCACGAAATGTCCATGAAAACCACAAGTATGGGCATAACCGTTAAAAAGCTCTGTGAGAGTAACTGGGAAAAAGCGGATGTAGTAAGTTGTAATGAAATATGTCGGCTATATCAAAAGAATAGGTTTTGCATAGCAACAGGTACTTTATGAATACAAGAGCCAATCTCCGGATCCATCAACGTCAAGAAATGCGCCATGCTCTCTACTTCCCTCCCCAATCGCGTAGGCATTCAAAAGAGTAGCAGGAACATACTAATGAATTCCGGGAAGAGGAGAAGTAGAAAACTCTATATCCACTCCCCATTCCATTCAATCAATTTGAAGGTTAACAACTTTTGATGACCCGAGCTGATTGTGAGACCGTGGAACTGTAATGCGAAGAAATTTAGCTTTCCTCTTCCTGCAAAAAATACCAAACAGTGAGGAGAGGCAGTCAAGGCAACGACGAACTTTTACGTATCCTACAATTCTGATAACCGCCCCTGGCAAAATAGAGAGGAGGGAGTCGCTTCATTGCCTTGAATTATCTTAATTGGCAGGATTACATCTTTTCTTAAATCCTGAAGCATTTAGCACAGCGTCAGCGTTTTGCTACTGAAAATTGACACTGGTTTTTCTGGTGGGATAAAAGCATTAGTTAGTACGCTGGCCTCATAGATCACTATGCTAACAACCATTATTTATGCGATCGTTATATTCTCCTTCCCTGATTCCTTGAACTATTCCGAATTAAAGGCAAGCATACTGCACAGAAGTTGAGGGATAATACTGAGAGGAAAGGTTAGATGCTAAAAACGAGGCAATCATTCTTAAGGGCACCCTTTTCCAGAGCTCAAAATCACTTACTTCATCGGAGTGAACCATAAGGCTGTACAGCTGACTCATACAGACAGTATTTGAAGACTTCTGTTGACTACAGAACACGATATTGCTATTCCAGTCTCGCAGATGTGAACGGAGAAATCATCATGAATATAAAACATTGGGAGGTTGAACTGTTTCCTGAATCTTACTGCCAACAATTTCAGAAGGAATTGAATTTCAAGAGCGATTTGATCAATTTTCTTTTTCCTTCCTCATCAAACGTTTCGTAATCATTACTGCGCATACGGGAATTACACTTGAACTTGCTATGCATTGCAGTGGCCAGCAGTACTGTTGCAACGTTGACAAACTAGCTTGTTCCATCATTAAAGACTTGGTTGACTATCTCCTTCTGCCGTAGTGCTGCCGATGAATTGGATTCTGGCAACTCTGGTAAATATCACTGTCACCCAGTTTCTTTGTGAATTTCAAGACAAATCTGAAAAACTTCAAATTCCCTGTCCATTATCAAGCATAACTTGCCTACATTTACTTTTTACCTCAAGTCTTCGACCAAGCGATATAGTGTCTCTAGCGACCGGCTCATAGAAATGATAGTAATGACATTGGAACAGGCGATACTATGTTTTGGTAAAATTACAATATAAAACTGTGACAAAGCGGCCCATGAAGATTTATTACTTCAATCTAAGTTCCCATTTCTGTACAAGTTAATCATAGAAGAGAAGAAACTGATAACAGACAATCTAAAAGCTGAAGTCTCCCAATCTTCCTCTTCAAATCTTTCCTAGTAGGAAGAGAAACAAGAAACAAATAGAAAAATCGAAACATCAGAATCACAGCATGTATCACATTACGACACAGAAAAAGCGACTAAATGCTTTTTCTACATAGACGGTATTACCACAACCATCACCCACACCAATCTCTAGTTTTATGGCTAGATGGAAAACCAGGCTAGCTTTTCAAACTTCTTATACATTTCTTGATAGCCCTAATTTAAACTTTACAACACTACACAAAGATAAGATATTTCTGCTGTGAAAAGCATTCAAAAAGCGTTTCATAAGATGAGTGAAGTTTTGGAAGAAATGATAACTCATGTCGAGCACATACCACGGAAGAGATACTGGATGTTACGGGGCAAATGTGCTCCAATATGCTGGATTAGCTCGGTCGCAATCATCCATTGGTTACTAGGACTCTACTGTGGTCAAATTCAATTGAAGATTGCAATACGTCTAATGTACAACATTCCAGTACGATTTAATGATTAGAGAGGGAACAAAATTGAGAGCCAACAGAATGCTTGCACATTCTTTGCCACTGGATACTTACGGAATCGGCTAATGCAGGTTCCACCGAAAAGTGGCATGGCTGACACTATTTTGCGCTGAACACGAGTCAGTGAGTTCTCCCTCTTACTGAAACCACTCAACCACAGGAGTTTTCACATTCCAATGCTTTTTCTCACCCTCGATTTTGGATATACCCCTGGGAATACAGATCCTCTTCATTACCGGGAAGCAGGATGACAATTATGCGTTGTATAACGGAAATCCAAGGTAGGTATCTAGTCAAGATACTCACTGATTCTCTTTTTCCACCACCATTGCATTTCATTCGAGAAAATGAAGAATCTCTGCACACAAACAATAAAATCCATCGACATAGTTTCCGATTTTAATATCAACGCGATCGTTACAGCAACCGTTTACCTAACTTCCTCAGTCTTCACAAACTCGGAAGGTGGGGTACAGATGAATGTGGTGTGGATGCCGGAGTCGGACTCATACTGTTACAGCATATTTCACACTCATCAATCAACTGCAACAGTTCTTGAGGAGACGGCCCATTCAGTCCCTGGAATAAGAATTGATAATATTAGTTTGGGTGCATAAGTGCTGACAAAGTTCTGGAAAAGCGAATTCAACATTACTGATTTCTGTCAATGGCAAGCATTCACTAGGACATATGTGCAATCAGTACTCTTAACATTCAATTCTTTCGGACACCAAACCACTACGTCATGCTACTGCTTTTCTTTCTTCCTGCAATTCCATTGTCGCGATATCGTGATCGGCGAAAAGTTCCGTAAAAAAGTTTTTTTTGAATAAGCACCCATTAGAAAGCTCACAAAGAGCTGCAACGAAGTTGGTATTNATCCCTCCAACTGTGAATCATGAAATGAAGTTAGTTGGAAAAGTTCAGAAACTGATGAGTATCACATGTAAAAAATCAGAGGAAATGAATTGCGGAACCGAATACGGTTTTCTTTTGTTCACCAACGAACGTGAAATGTATGGCTTTCACGGGAATGAAAAAATGGATATTCCACATAAGCGTGCACGCAATGGTGCCTCTAAAGCCAACGTGCGTGCGAGGAAAGTGGTTCTGGTGTAAAGTGGTGTTTTCGTAACCCTAAATTCCTAGATCTCTAGTGGGGATGAGAAATGGATAATGGAGGCCAACGTCGACATCTCATGAACGAAATATGATAGGCCCTCAAATATTATAGTATATATAATTTCAGCCCAATGCTCAAACAATACGTCGTGAAGATGGGAAAAAGCTAACGGGTGAAGTGAGTAGGGAAGTTTCGCGCATTATTCATGATAAACTCGCTACATTCTCGAAGGGTCATCCACGACCATCTCATACAATCCCAGTGGTTGCTAGCCCACACTTAAAAACCTGAGAAACAAATAGCGTCATGTCTTGAAATCCTCAGTATTACAGAACAGGCTTCTTACGACTGCATAGGCGACCTCCCCGTGTACAGGAAGCCCAGGATTCAATTCACAACTTTATCAATTTACCAAAAACACCGTTTGGGTTCTGTTACGCGGAAGTAATGAAAAAGAAAACTGTTTTCTAATCTAATCTAACAGCTAATAAACTTGTTAGATGACAACTATGACTACCGGTGACATTGCAATAGTAAAGGATACTACCACTCCAATTGTACGAAGCGTATGGGCACCATATGAGAAAGAAATAAACTTGGCAAATGTAAACAACAGCTCGATTGGAACTTACTTGTAGCATCGTCGGAGGCATTTTCACACTGCTAGATGATGTCTTCAAGGAATCCAAACTAGATGTTGATTGAGCACTGGCTAGAGATGACTGGCGAGCGGCCACATATTGATCCAGTGCTGTAGTCAAATCCCACATCTGAAATTCTATTCGTGAGCAGCGTCTTGCAATAGCTTCAGAATGCTAAAATCAGAATGCATGAATTGTTACTATTGTATTTTTCAATACTATTATGAAAGCTATTTCGGAAACGAATCGATTTGTACACTCCGCTATGCAAAAACAACACAGGCCAGCCTAGCAGAAAGACACCGTGGTGACATGGAATGTAGGGCAGTTTTAAAAACAGACCTGCACACTACCACTAGTGGTTCCACAAAACAGGAACCGACGAGGGCGACTTCCCATTCGATTTGAACCTTCACATTCATGAACGGTGAAGGAGGAAATTGCAGCTCCGTCTACAGAACGAATAGTGCATATTCTGAAAAGCATTTTTCTCGAGTCATTGTTCAGAATTCTCTAAACTCAGTTAAAGTTGGTGATCACTGACCTCTCTCCCGTAGATGCTAATCGAACGAAAAGCTGATTCGTGTTGGGAACAACGCGCTGTACAAATACCTGATCACCGTCTTGGTCACCATAGGGACCTGTAATGGAACCTTATTTGCAAGCTCAACAAATAGAAACACTAAAAGCTCACCAGGATCCGCATAATCCCTATCTACAGAATCATCCGTGGAATCCAAAGTAAGCACTTTGAATGAAGCTAAGCTAGTGCTACCCGGTTGAGTACTGATCATACCACGAAAACGCGTAACCATCCATGATCGCACGTGGTTGTATTCCGAACATACTGAAGATAGATATGGATGCGTTCAATTCGAAACGAGATCATTAAGTCTATCGCGATTGGAAAGCTCAAATTCAAGCGAAGTGTAGAGCACAGCAGACCCTTTATTTTCATTTTCCTTTCCAAAATCTGATGCAACTATTAGCACAGGATCTTATTAAGATGCAACATTCAAGGAAACCCACCGCTGATCAAGTGATTTGTGCTCAAAGTAACTCGTGTAACAGGAGAATTATGAACAGTGTATGTCTGAAACAACTGCGGTCCATGTCCAACAGTTTCTGGGTGTTGAACAATCACACGAACAGCACCAGAAGAAGTCCCGTAAGCGATTTCGATCCAGTTCCCGCACACATCTGAACAGTAATATTACTTATACTATGATGTCGCGTTCCGGGAATGATTGAAGAGACTAGCTCAAGCTCGGTGCATAGAAAATTAAAGTAGCAGAAATGCACGTACTTGTTTTTGGAGTTAAATATACGCTAATCGAAGTGATGCCATCTCCATTTGGATCCTTGTAAAGTTCAGTTACCAACAGATCGTTATCTTTCATCCTTAACGATAAACCAGCTTTTGCGCGAATGCCAGGGAGAGAGCAGTAAAAGAAACAAAGTTGCACATTGTGTGCGAAAGTCAACAAGGAAAGTGTAGAACAAATCTGACCTCAGAGGGAATTTTTGCATATCAATATAATACATAGAGCCATTCGTGCAACCAAGCAAAAGAGATGACCCAGCGGTATCGTAGCACGATATGGCAACCACATCTAAAGAGCTTGAATCAAAATAATCAGGAAAGAGCACAATAACAAAAACAAGGGACTTGAGTATACTGTCAACGACACTGAGGTTCATGATAAGGCTCATTTTTAAGCCTTCGCGAAGGTACGGTATTGCTGAACAATGAAGCCAAAAATGGCATTGCACTCAGGGTGAAGCGCATGTAGCCACATCTTCTCCCTCTTGGTCTCCTATACCAATGGACACTTATGCCATTGTTGCAAACATTCGACTATTCTTGTACTTTATTAATTCCTATAGCTAATAGCCATTCTGAATTCAGTCTCACCTTGAACCTGCCAGTTGTGCGTCATTGAATGCCATATGCCTACTTTTCCTGTTCGGCTTAACGCAACCATCTGACTGCCGATAAAGAACAATTTGTCCACAGCAACTGACAAAGAAAACACCCCTGAAAGTAGCAAAGTTAGATAGACAGGTTAGGAACAGAAAGTATTTTAGCCGATCCACCTACCAATCTTCACAGCAGTATCACCCTCCTCAAGTGACCACAAGAGGATGTTTCCGTTTGCGAGAGCCACAGCAACCATTCTGTCAGTATTCTGAATGTGTGAACTTACTGCTATCGGTCACTCTATTAGAAACTTTCTAGACTCACCTGAGGCCCAAATTTGGTGTTGAGGGCTACATGTCTGATCAAAGAGTCCATACGAGGCGTACTATAGACACTTTGCCAACCGAGAGACTCTTTCATACTTAATGGCGTAATGATAATTTAAAATGAAAGGCTTTTACAAATACTTCACCCAGAAATAAAGCCACTTTGCCTTCTTTTTGTGATTTTTGACACCCATGTAAAAGTCAGAAATCGAAACCAACCGATAAACGCATGCGTAGTAAGCGTAAGCAACGATGATCGAATTATGATGAGCTCTCACAATACGTACACGCAGCGGATCTGGCTCATCCTCAGACTGAACCCGTGATTGATGTTTCAAATGAGATAACTCGTTGCGGATCTGAAGTAACGAATATCGAACCCTCACCCGTTGACAGGAACGTAATGCCCGGCACAATTCCCTGATGCCCTATAAAACGCAACACCCACATATCTAGCAAGCTCATACGAACTCTTCTTGCAATGCCCGTACACTCTTGGAGTACTATGGCCACTCCCGTGTCTCGAATACCATCCATCGTTTTTCTCCAGGATCACAAGGCCACCAGGTACAGTCGGGGCTTTGCTCAAGCATCCGCAAGTCGTGGAGTCAGTGTTTGGTGCAGACTTTGCGTTTTCTGAATTTGAAGGACTATATAATCTAGAAAGTGTCACAAAAACAGCGGGCATTTGAAAAATCACCTGTGTTGGCCTGTTGCGATGCATTTTCAGAAGAGGACGATGAGCAATTCGGCATCTGTAATCCCATACAAGACTAGTTCAATGTAATGAGAATGAAAAGGTAGATATACGCAAGTTTTTTTGTTTTACACAGGTCCAAATGCTCACAAATTGCGTTCACGGTAACATCCTTTCAACCTACTATAATGTCCTGAGCATTTTATTTTGCGCGTTAGTCAAGCCCTGAAGGATGCGCCTACGCATTCGACTCCCATTCAGAATCGTAGTAGCTTATTGAATGTGCATGTGACCTATACAATGACTTGAGGTGGCCAGCCGATGCACAAGTCAGTGCTTCTATACCCCTTCGGGCCAAGATGATATATCGCCGCCGCTTTAATGGTATGAGCCGAAATTTACAAGAATGCTTATTTGGAGCTTAGCGTTTCAACCCCACCTATAAAGCAGTTTAAAGATGATGACTGCGAAGGAACTACCTATTTGAAGAATAACGGGATCAGTTCCTCACCTTTCGTTCAATTACCGGCCGCTCAAATGGAAGATTTGGTGCAGGAATCATTGCATGGAACAGCACAGTTCCACATGATGAGACATCTAATTCTTCACATAGCGTCAGTCGACGAACTAAAGGCGCCAAACCAAAATATTGAGCTTCGTGTTTCAAAGTGCTCGGCGCGATGTTGCTAAAAAATGGTCACGGCTGTCCTTGCATTCTTTCCAACAACTTTTTACAAAACCGGAGAAACACATATGACAACTAATCAACGGACAGAGAAACTTGGTACCTGGTACTAGAGACCACATACCTTAAATCAACCTGTTTCGTGCGAAGGTAGTTAAGGATTATACGAAAGACATCCGGGTCTCTATCGATGAATATCGCTCCGCTGTCATCCCGGACAGTAGGTATTCGTCCACTCAGAAGGCTTAAATCGTGAAACATCGCTAGATTAACAAAAAGATTAGATTTTAGTACTAATAAATGTAAAAAATCAAAAACCAATACAACGATGAACCTTGTGAAAAAGGAATCCGGAATCCATGTGAGTGTGTGGGAACTAGTGGCAAAACGTTGCCCACCCACATTCAGACTTACGACCTGCTCGGGAATGTCGGATGGGCCCACCATAATGATTCCAAAAGAAGAGCTTCTAGACTGTAGCGAGCTCGACTTCGTCAGATGGAAACAGAGCTGTAATGTGAGCACCCTTATAAAGGGTTCTTAAGAGCAATCAGTAGATGAGTTCATAGACGACAAAACAGCATCTTATCAAATAAAGTGTAGCAGAATGGTAGGATTATCGTACAGTGTGTAGCAGAACTGAATGACTTAAGCATGCGCCATATTCTCAATTGTTCTTGAATAAAAACGCACGTAGCGTCAACAGCTGACAATCGTACCTGACAAAAATCTTTGTAAACCTTGGGATAAGACCCAAAAAAAANAAAAAAAACTCATGGGTCCAGTCTACGCAACGACTGTCAGCAGAATTAGAATCGAGCTTCACTAAAGCTCGGCGATGCAAAAAGATTGATGAAGTGTCTGCGCTCTAATATTTGCCTGAAGTAGCGATGAAGTTTTAGTGCTTGTACAAAAAAGATTGGAAGGTACATTTGCAATTTCCTTTGTGCCTCTTCATTTTAATAAGGAACTTTTTCTTTGGTCGATCGCTCCCATGTACATGATTCGCTGCATTTATTTATTTAGAAAGCGTATTCAAAGTAGTATTCATTTTGGCCACAGTATATGCTCGCTTAATTGGAAACTTTTGACTTTAGGAGACTGATAAGATTTGTAAAGCCGTGGAAGGAGGTGAAACTTGACGACCACTGAGTATAATTTATCCCGTTTCCTCCGCCTCACAAAGATTGGGGAAGTCTGGGGAATCGTCGAATGGATTCTCCAAGAAGGATCTTCTTTATACTCACCACTATAATTGTTGAATAAAATGACCAAAAAGGTGCATAGTTACTTTAGCAACATTCGCTGCAGCAGCCCCTAAACAGCCCATCATTGCCGTGGTTGAGGATCTTCGCTAATCTTTCTTACTGTGAAGAACAGAAATGGTGCAGTACTGTAATCAGAGAGAAAGGTGATTGCCAGATGCGCTCCAGCCGCTTAAGTTCAAACGTTGCTCAGCAAACCTGAAGGTTCACGGAGGGCTATTCAACACCGGAATATTTTTTTGAGAAACACCGCTTATATACAGAACAACAAAGAAGGAAATAACTGCTAACCAAAAGTACCGGAAGGACAGCAAAGCAAATAATGGAGTTTCAGGCAATTAGCTGTGCTTAGTGTGTAAATGCAGACAATGACCTGTAACACACGCTATGACGTTTGCCGATGTTGCGCGAGCGGACCTGAAGAGGGTGTCTACAGCCCAATATTGGAGGGGAGAGTTCACTTCCCGTAGGAAGAGCTCCTACGAAGCCCTTACGGACGAAGGAGCACCTCGGTAGATGAGTCAATTGAATGTTCGATTCTCAACCCATCCCAACTTTTTGCACGATGAAGCCATCTCACTCGCCACGATGTTCATCCCTTCCCGTGGATTTTTGTTGGAAAGCTGAATTCCCCTGGCTAACAAGGTCTATGAGGTTAGGAAGTCGACTACACTACCCTCTCTGCGCTCTAAAACTTGGCGTCGAAGATGATTAGGGAAACTGCCACCCCCAACTACATCTACAACTACCGGTAAGCTCCACAGATCTCCTTCACAGAGGATCCTCTTTCACTGAGAGATCTTCAGCTGGTTGGGGACGAGGGTACATGGTGCGGCACCACATTTCGGATAGAGGATGAAATATCGGACCAGAAGTCGCCGGTACTTACCTAAATACGTAGGTGGATTAAGCAGATGGACGACAGGTTCACCTGTATTGACTTAATAAGAGATAAGCCCATGAGAGATTGTGTAGCGGACTTTTGGGATACTTGTGAGTACACATACTTATATACATATTTATTATGAAGATACTTAAATACAACATGGTAGGATTACGGGGAAAAGATCAAGACAAGGTGGCTTATGTAGCCATGACGATGGGTCAGGGGTGCACAGCCCGGCGCAGCGGTGACAATCTCTCGCCAGCAAACGGCTGATTATGTATCTTGTGCATCAGCACGATGCAACTTGATGGATGGCACTCCCTCGTAACTGCAACGGCTGACGAAACGAGACCAATGACTCGTCGACAGCATAAGTTTTGCAACACTTTTGAAATGTAATGGTATCTTGCCGTTTTCGAAGTTACCCTGGAAAATGCTATAGTTCTAGTGCAGAGTCACATCTGAAGGCATATACAGGGCTGCCCAAAAAAAAGAGACTTTATGCATGGAGGCTAATCCAGGGCGGAATACGTCGCACCGATTGAAGCAGCAGAAGAATGTGATTGGGTAAATTGTACTAAGAATATTGCTTGATGAAAGGAAGTAGGAACTCGTGTGGTTCCTATTCGGCGTCAAAATATGAAGGCGTCTGCCATTGCGGATGCGCTCAAGACGACTTACGGGATATCGGTCGGCAACAAGCAGATACGCAAGTTTTTCAATCGAGTCGCTCACGGACAGATTCCTGGGCATCGTCGCTTAGGATTTGGAAGACCACTGACTTCTTGTAGCCCCGACAACTCTCTGCGATGTCGTGGGAGACGAGCCGACCGTTCCAGCAACCGTGATCACCAATCACGGTCAACCGGGATTCCGCGGACGTCGGTTCAGCGTATTCCGAAGAAAAGAGGATTCAAACGGTGTCCAAGGTTACCTCCTCGGTGTCTGCGGCTTATTTGATAATCACTCTTCAGGTAAGGGTCCACTGCGCTAACGAAAAGCAGCAGAAGAATTGCCCGGAATGCTGCCAGCGTCTGCTGCCAAAACTCAACGACGAATTTGAGAAGCGGATCGTTTTCAGCGATGAGAAGCTCTTCTTGATCTCTCCGTCAAGGTACAGTAGTAAGGGACGCATATGGACCACCCTGAAGAAAAAAGAGCTCAGCCCGAGCGTGCCGCAGTCACCACGCTCCACCAGCCAGCGTGGCCTGATGGTGAGGGCCGGAGTCTGGTGGAACGGTAAGACGGAGCTGCTGTTCGTGGAGCCTGGGTTGAAGATTAATGCCGAGTACAACGTCCAGCAGCTCAGAGAAGACATTCCGCCGTCATGTAGCCGCCTTTATCGTGACGGAAGCTTTGTGCTACAACAGGACTGAGCACCGGCCCACGCATCTAGAAAAACTCTCGCCTTTTTGGATTCAGTGAGCGTCGAATATCTTAAGAAGACAGAGTATCCGAGTGCATCTCCTGATCTCCACCCGCTTGATTACAGGGTGTGGGCTGAGGTTGTCTGCGATGGTCAAGAAATTGCCGATCTCGCCGACCTCAGACGACGCATCAAATTCGCGTGGCAAAAACTTTCAATTTCGTTCGTACGGAAGGCCATTGATGAATACCGTGATCGAGTACAATGTGTTGCTGATTTTGCGGGTGGTAATATTCAGTCAGAATCTAATAAAGTGTGATTACATTGGTGGTATAAGCCGAGCAGTGAGAGTGACTCTTTCTTTTGGGCACCCCTGTATAAACAGCTGGATTTAACTGAGGCATAAATTGCCATCGTCTACGAACCACTCATAAAACTTATTTACTGCCGTTGGTTCAGAGTGGCGCTGCTGTGTGCACAGTTCACGTTAACAATGGCTTCTGAGACTTTTATGTAAGATGAATATGTGACCGACAGGAATAGCCCAAGGGACGCTCTTAGATCGAAAGATAGTCCGTAATAAGGGCCAAGAACTGGCCTAGTAGACGTACACATCCAAGACGAACGAGTTCTTAGGCGTTGTGAAAGCTGTAGAGGTTGCACTATCCGCACCGGAAACCACACCTTGCACCCAGGCGCGTACTGCAGCCAGCTGTATGCAGTGGCGCTTTTTGCGCTTTCTTTGCCTATTTTTGCACCATTCTAGACTATCACTTCCATTTTCGTTTAAAGCTAGATACCCCAAAAATTATCGTAAACTGTGTATTTCAGAAGATCTTTTCACAAGCGCTGCCTAATCCGGCCAGCATTCGTTTCGCCTGCTCGACGTTCAGTACTATAAGCACGAAGTCGTTTGCGATGCGGAAACGATGTAACTAGCGGTCGTTGTCTTTCACTCTTTGACTTTCTTGTAGGCTGGCGAGATTCTGATCCTGAAGTCGTTGAAGAGCTCACAAAACATTCTTATATGCCGGGGGAGGACCACATGCTTCTCTAGGGCTTCAGTTACCGCATCTCTTTCGGTGGTACGAATGGTTCTTTAGAAAGGTGAACGTCAGACATCAGGGAGTCCTGGATACTTCAATGGCTCTTGTAACAGTGTGAATGGAATTGCGCTGTACCCTCCTTGCTCGCATGACTATCCCTCATTCAGTATTCTGCATTCCTGTTAAAGATGACTTGTATAAGAGGTTCATGGACAACGGCAGATCAGGCGATAGTTGCCAATGTCGTCCGGATGTCCCTTCAAATACAGCAACACGCCTTACTAGTTTCCCAGGACACTGCCGCCATTCATTCATTCCGTTAGGTGCGGCGTGAAGAGCGATAACCGGTGGGAGACTAACTAGATGCTCTGGTTCAATTCTTTCAGATACGGGCACCCTACGATTGTTTATCGACGCGATGGCATGACGAATTTCGGGGCGGGGAACTGAGGGAAATGAGATGTCTGTCTTTCCTTGGAAGGAGTTAGGCAGATAGACGTGGCCATCCTTTGAGAAGCAGTAACTGTTCCTTCATTACCAAGGAGAAAAGTCCTAATGGTCTTGTAATTAGCGACACCCTCACAAGCCTCGAAAAAGCTGTTCCTAGTCCTCACGTCTTTAGCCAAAACTGCTGCCCTTCTCTCTCCCAGATCTCCCTTTATCGCCTTTCGCAAGGTCGGACGTTAGTTGATAGTTGCACGTGGCTCGCGCAATTACACACTGGAGTATCAGCTAAAGAGTCTCAGGAGAGAAACGATCCGCAGCTACTTGTGGATCCTATGTATGTATTCCTGGCGCTATCGTGAAGATGTTCGATGAGCCGGTTATATTCTTTACTGATATTGACGATAGCGGAATCTTCCAGTAGACTCACAAGGGGAGCGAAGTGAGTAAGGAGCGGTTAATGACGGTCTTGGGGCTACCTTAAGCTTTGCAGTTCTCCCTTTACGAGTGGAAAAGTAGAATCTGTCTCTGAGGAGACAATAGTCCGATCGTGTGTAGAACTTCGGAACTACAGCAACGTCAGTGAAACCTTCGATTGTAGATAAGCGCTCTTCTTCGGTGGATGTTATGAGATGGAACTTTCACTCCAAAGCCCATCGTAGGGCGCGTGCGTCTGGGACTGCGAATTACCACGGATGATGGGTCGACACCTTCTACGCGGACAGTCTTCCGCCCTGCTCATACAATTCCGTTTCGTGAGTTGCAATATGTAGCTCTTCAGCCGTTATTCCAGGGCCAATCTTAGCGAAGCAGGTCCTCTCTGAAGAGCTTTTCCAGATTTTTATGAGACTCTTCCAGTTCCACTTACAATTAGTTTAATGTTGTGCATAGTTTGATGCTAATGCATAGATTATTAGTACTGGGATTGAGCAACATGTTCCCAGCGCAAACTTCCGATTCGGGCTATATAGCTTTCGTTCGAATCGTGGTTCGTGGCCATGTGCGAACTGACAAGGCCACCTAGAGCGCCGACACCTCTGCTATCGCATGTTCCAAGGAACAGCTCTTCTCCAGTCTCGACAGCAAACGTACAGCAAACGATTACTTCTGGTCTCGGTCAGTCCGATGACGATGTCTGTTATTAGGATCAGTGACAACAGATGAAGGTTTCGTAAGCGTAGACGACAAGTGGATACCGGAAGACGGGCAGTAGGAACGGTTTTGGTAATCGATCTGCCGCACGTGGCTGTCGCGGACCATTTGCCTCGTTATAACAGTTCTAGCGTTCTTCATGCAGCTCAATCGCTATGCAATTATTACTTATGACATGATTCTATTGTTAGTTCTTTTGTTCCTGTATTTCTTACTTGCACTCTGCTACATCCCTTTGCGCGCGGCGTCTCTCTCGCAGCGACGCGGCGATTTCGCTACTACTGCACGGGGGACAGTCAAGTCGTGCGTCCGAGGGCGCGCGCGGCAAATTGCGCGGCGAAATTCATACCTATTCTGACGACTTTAGCGCCTATTATTTGGGCCCAATTTTGAAGTACAGTGGAATAGTAGGATCAGCTGACCTTACTAATCTAACCTACTTCAGATTTGGGCCCCAATTATGGGCGCCCGAGTCGTCCGAATTCGCCACGAACTTCGCCGCGCAATTTGCCGCTCGCGCCCTCGGACGCACGACTTGACACACACCCCTGCACGACACCCGTGGATACCACTTGGGAATGTTCCGATCAGAAATGAATTATTTGTTCCCGAAAGAGTTATGGAGGGACAGGTATGCATCCCGACATTGTAACAGGAAGGTTGTCGGCGATCCACAGGTTGGGCAAATAACCAGGTGGATTCCTAGGCAACTAACCGAATGAATACCTGAGTAACAATTGAATAGACAATTAAATAAGCCTTGCGATAACGGCTCGGATGGTCCATGACCAGAACGAAATAATCACAGTCTTGTGTGGTTGAACTTCCACCTCTACAATCTCTTTTTCACTATGCTTCCTCGGTGCTCATTACCCCGTCACTAACTAAAACCTACTTTCCGCCAATCTTACTCTTATCCATCTACTGACTGATGTATTGATTCAAACTACAGCGCAGAATCTAGCTTATGCGACTACTTGAACTTTCTCTGCGTCCCTGACGGCGAAAGCCTAGAGCGCAGACAAAAACACCCTGGTGAAGGACACGGGGTTGGTGGTGGGGTCCTGTTGGTCAGACAAGCACAGCAGTTAAAGATCGGAGTGAACGGATGTGCGACAGACAGAAAAATAGGCGCAGTCGCCACCATCAAAAAGACCGAGTTTAAGCGCCATCGGTCCTACAACGATCAACGCTGGCTACCGTACATCACATTCCAGAACTCTGTACTGCGTTTCTAATTCCCAGGACTTGTACGTGTTGTTGCTCCAATGGCCCGTCGTCGGTGAGGACATCTTAGCTACAAATTTAATCTCGACAATCAATTCAAATTTAGGTCGAATATGTCGTTGATGAGAGCTGGTGGCAATTGTCCACAAGAGAAGAATCGAGTAGCAGCCCAGGCCATAAACAACGGTTAGTAACTTGTTTTGCCCTCATTTAACCATCGTATAAAACAAATTGTTAGCCCAAAAGCATTCCGAAAAATGTGTGAAGTGATTCATTAGTGAAGGCTGAATGGTAAGAGATTTCGTTCCTTCAAACCTTCCTCCTACAGGTTCCTCAAGTAATGGTTCTGTCGTGAGAGTCCGCAAATTCGTCGGCGATGATTTTGACCGGTTGGTTTCATTATTAAGTGCATTTCTAGTTTGAATATGTTTGGTTGTGTGTATCTGTGAATCAGTGGGTAGAGTTTGATTCAAATGTTGTCGCCAACATTATTTACAGATGGTTTCACGTGGTAGTTCCACAGGCGTAATTTACTCACGCTCCTAATTGTTTTGTATAGTAAAGGTTGTACCTCATCTTTCATCGGAGCTGTAAGTCATAGAATACACTCAAAGATCTCAAGGATCAACCCAAGAGAAGACGAAAGATGCAGCACCCTGGAAGGTTTCTAGGGTGCTACGTCGTGTACATAGCTGTGTAGAGCTTGATTTTTACACTTCGCTGAGCAATCAAGTAAAGAGATTTTTGCGTCAGAAGTAATTGTGGCTGTGAAACAGCCCCTTCCCCGAGAAGCAACATGTGCACCAGCATGGTATATCAAACGCATGCTCATAAACTGGACTCATTTCTATGGTTCCAGTTTCCAAACATGCTTTTGGCTCTGCTGTCTGCTCAGATAATAAAAGTTCATTTATCCGCCCACCGATTTTTAACAGCACATTCAGGAGCTTTCAAGCTGCACTCTGAATTTTGTTTGGGTGCAGAGGTTCAAGGCACAACCTATTCTATTGGGTTGTAACATAAGTTCGTAGAGTTTTGCGTTAGAGTTATTTTGCAACGTTTTGTTTTGTTATTCAGCAAAGTGTATACATTCATTCGAAAGAGCTTTTTCTCCTCTACAAAACTGTTTTATCTGTTTTTTTGGGGAGTTTAATTGTTCGTCTTTTTTCTGGCTCAGAAATGGAATATCTAGGAGGAAAAAATCAGCATTTTCGACATCTGCTTTTCTTGCCGAAACAGCTCGGGAGATATGCAGTGTGTACAGGGAAGGTGTCTTACATAGGTGTGTCTACTGCACAAAAATGGTTCGCAAAACTTGAAATAGGCGACTTTGAACTTGAAGACACGCCTCGAAGCGGACGACCTGCAGAATTCGACCAAGAGCGTCTGAAGGCACTATTGAAGGAAGATGGTCGCCAAACAATTCGTGTATTGGCTGATTATTATAATAACTTATTTAATGATTTATTATTGCAATTATTGCTTTTTGTTCAGAGAAATCTTTGTGAAAAACTCTACGAACTTATGTTACAACCTAATATTTAACCGTTTAGAATCTAGCGAAGCCTTTGCCGGAATTGTATGATATGCCACGCTATGAAGAATCCCGCTGTCACTCACATATCCGCCAATGTGCAAGTTTTACCACAATGAAGGAAACTATGCAAAATCGTCAAATTGTTCCGGCAATCATATATAGTAAAAATACTAAGTTACATGCAATATTCCTAGGTACCTTGGACGCTTTGGATTGGTGAAAAAGACCATGCCCAATACAAATGGAAGCAGTCTTTACAGAGCAGTTTGTGAATCGGTGAGTTTAGTTTTCCGAAAAAGCTTCAGTTTTGACCCTTTACAAGCTTTCCTGCTAATATTACTCGTTTAAGCTCAGCACGAATCAACGAGAATACTCTGCTCTACAACAGCTCGTAGAAGACCACCTTCTATTTCAATACCACATTCAACGAATTGAGGACGGGCTGCCGCGCGTAAACAAAATCGAGGATTCTTTAACGACCGTTGCCCACCTTTTGAGGTTTTGCATCTTGTTCTTGGTTCAATAGTTGTTTCAGGTCTATTTCTGCAATATTTATTTATTTATTTATTTATTTCTATCAGTCCAACGCTATAACAAGCTAACATATGAAAAAAAAAANTTTTTTTTCTTTTTGATGCACACGAACCATTCCTAACAGGGTTGGCAGAACACAGGATCAAAGGCAGTCATGCCAGCAAGTTGAGTCCGTACATCATCGCTAACGTGAAGGAAGACGTCTGACAGAGCGATACCATATCTTAAATGCTGCTTTCGTAAACGTCATGCGTCATTTTGAATGGGAAGATATGGTGAAAATCGGCTAGGGAATTACACCACCTTCACTTCCCAGACTGTCGCGCATATGACACTGAACATCAAGCTGGTGGAACGAATGCTGGCCAGTATATGTGGGAGGATCGACTGGCGATTGAATCGAGCGATGACGATGCTCATGAGAAACGGGCTGGTCTCTGATGTCACTTTTACGATTGAGTCAATATGATGAAGGATCTAGCTATCGAGCTTCGGAAAAGAGAAAATGTGGCGTGAAGAACAGTCAAGATTATCGAGGGGATAACGAAGAAGAGGAGAGTTTGGCTTCGCTCTCGGCTTTACGACAATGCGCCCACCTCACCCTGTCTTTGGCTCAAATACTTGGGCTCGATGAAGGGTAATATGGGCGTGCAGTCAGCGTTACCCGGTGCGCCTTGCAGATGGCAATGTTCAGAGTCACCGATACGCATTGTAGAGGGGAATTCGGTCGGTGTCCCGAACTCACTCAGCTCTCTAAAGGGGACCGCACATTAGGGTTCTCGTCGGCGACTCCAACGCCCAGATTGGATTGGATCCAAAAAGAAAACGGACGAAAAGCTACGTATCGGAACTCACGTTACGTATTGGAATGAGCAAGCTAAAAAGCTGTCTGAGTTTGTCATGTTGATCCACACCATCCATTACTCGCGGTTTTCGAAACACTCGCATTCCTTATGATGCTCTACCCTAGGGTCTGTTTTTCAGGAGCCGTGTAGATGCCCAACATTGAGCCCAAAAACGTTTTGCAAGCGTTTAGGACGCATTTCATGTGAAAGCAGAACGAGCGCATGCATCCAGGAATCGAGCATTGATGTCATGTCTTCCACTCCACCACAATAGACGCTAGGCTGCCATTGCAGTGCTGTGTTTGGTCGACACGGTGATCCGTTCGGTACAGTGCCATAACACAGGGGAGGCATCGGTCCTTTGTTCCCAGAATCGTATCGCAGATTTGAAACACAGATTTGGAATCAGCGTTCGAAACCACCTACGGGGGTATACATCTCAACTTGAATGGCCACTGCGACCAAGTATCCTTCCCTTGTTAGATGGGGGAGACAGTAGCAAACATAGTTGGTTCGAGAAATACGTTTTGTTTGTTAAAACTACAAAAGGGAAAAGCGGTACAATGATAGCACCGTTCCTACTCAATTATACGTTTCACAATTATTATCATCAGGACTTATTTCAACTCCACGCCGAATCTGGTTGCATAAGCAATCCTTTGTGTTTTAAACATTTTGGGGTTCGTAAAAACGTGATCGGGGATAACAACTCAAACTTTAAGCCGTGTTGGTTACTAATGAACCTCTTTATTTTAGCATCGACTTGATTGTCTATCGTGAAATCAATGAGAAGCCTGTAATTTACAAAGGAAGTCTCGAAGGAGAGTCTGCTGAGAAAGTAAATTATTGCATCAATCATTCCTTTTGAGATAGTAAATTCAATTGGTAGTAGTAACTGATCACATTGACTCCTGTTGTGGGTATCTTAGTTTCATAAGAAATGTAAATAATGGTGAAATTTTCGGAAAAAAAAATTGAAATCATTGTCATGATTGATTCTGAATGATTTCAAAAATTGTGGCCAGAGAACCGTTCTAGAATTCTCAGACCTGTAGGATGTATAACAGCGATGGCAACACAGCATACATGAAATTTCGTCGGCAAGAGCGATTAAAATAAGGTCAAACCAGGACGATAGCTAAGCATCGTCGGGGAGGAGTCGAAGCCGCGCTGCAAATAGCTGACGTGGTTTTTGTTTCATTATCGGTTGTGCACCACCAATGCCAAGTCCGGAGTACAATGTGATGTTGCACAGACCTATTCCAAGTGCTTCAGCCCACGCAGTTCATAGGCTTCGAATCCGGAGAGTAGTCATGGAGGGAGGGGTAAAAGAGGTGTCGGAAAGCAACTTTACCCACACTTGCGCCATTGTACTGGTGCACGGGTGCACTGTCTTGTTGGAATTTGTCCAGTCCTTTTTATTACGCTTTTTGACCCAGGGCCAGTTCCTTTCTCAGAAGTGTTGCCCGGTGGTAGTTTTTGTTGGACTCGACCTTTTGTTGGTCTCGACGACGAAACAATTTTCACAGGGGATGCACCTATTTATACCATGGTTAATAGACTCGCTAGACGGTTCTTTCCTTTCTTCGACTTCAGCTCCTGAATATGTTGAAGGGGTATCCTGATGTTTGGGAGTAATAGACCGCCATCACCAAGGAGTGTTCTTCAGTTTTTCATCAGGAGACGATCCTCAGTTGCTTGAACGCGCCCAGGCGGGAAACTTTTGCACTCTGTCTTGCATGCCTCCTTGCGCTCCCCTAGAATGAAAAAGTTTTGAAACTATCGTAGAGGTTTAGGCATGAGTCCTAGAGGGCCTTCAACGATGTTCTCGTTGATACATCGGGAACCTTGAGCTCCTGGACCAAGTTCCTCGTGGTATTCTTCGGATGGCACGAAATCTCCTTTGTGACGGTGTGGACCAGCCGGGAAGCCGTGACTGTCTTGCTCACACCACTTGCGGACTGTGCTCCATGCCCAGGCTTTTGAGAGTTACTGTTCTGTGAACTAGCAGTGATGACGCTGAGGTTGCGCGCGATTTTGGCCATACCTGATTGGCGACTGTGTGAAGATCCATAATGATTGGACGATGACGGAAAATCTTCGTCATTTTCATTAGACTGGAAGGATGCCCCGAAATTCGAAACGTCCGGATGAACATACCGATCTAGGGTTTAAGAGCAAAATAGGCAAATCTTTCTGAAGAAATGATAAACAAACATTGCGTGCGGCTCAGTTTATCTCTAACCCTATTTTCCGTCATCCATTAGGAATATGTCACGAAAGTAAGACTTACTGTCTCACGCATAGACGCTCTCGAATATCTCATAAGGTTTGCAGTTGTGGACAAAACTTTGGTCTCTTACGGAACCCCGTTTGAGGCCAAAGTTTTGTCCATAACTCGCCTATCTTCCGTTACTTCCGTACTGCGATGGAATAACAGCAGTTATCAAAACATCAAGTGAAAGCTCCCTGGTGCAGAAACTTATCATCGCGCTTAGACATTTTGATTATTTTTTGTTTGGGTGATGCTGTGTGAAACATCTCGCGGACATTTCGATCTGGTCATTACAAGAGAGGACCACACTAACTTAGCGCTGGCCCAGTGTAAGTGTTTTCGATAATGATATATTGGCTCGTAGATTCATACTTTTTTCAGTTTTATAAACTCTTTCTATATTTTATTAATTGTCATAGAAGCTTACAGCAATTCTTTACGAGGCACTCTATATTGGAGTTTTTGGCTTTTCACGAGACACAATCAAAGAATCGATCGCGAAAGTACGTGAAGATATGGGTAAGCTGAATCCCTGTCGAAAGTCCATAAAGTCTTTATAAATAGAGCCAGTGCTCAATAAATTCGAACGAGCTGTTTTCATTGAAGATGCCGTTGGAGTTGATGTAGAAACGCCCACTTCCGACTCTGTGCCTGGACAACCTACTGAAGACTTCTCATCCAATGATGGGAGCAATGTAAAGAAAAAAAAGTTATCTTTGTTGTTGGTATTCTCTTGAAATAAGGTTGAATTACTTAAAGCAACCGCCTGCACACGCTTGGAGACCACCAATTCCGTATTCATCAATAAAAGCACTTGATCCTTCTGTCTACCGTAATCTGTCTTACGACTTGTTCCTGAAAAGTAAGAGGCAGAAAGGTGATTACGGTGGGTCCGCGTTGTTTGTTACATGGAAAAGTCGGAAAATAAAAACAAAATCGCTCATTCACAACGCATTTGTTGCCTCAAAATTTGCCTTTGTTGCCCCATTTGTTGCCTTGGCGTTCCCACCACGTAATTATCCACGCCAAAGGCGGTGATGCGATTTTGTTGTGTTTTTCGTCGCTACTATTCAAAGTTTTCAAACTATTGGGGGTCCGATTTGCTGTGCGTGTTTCGGTTAGTATGTCAAATGGCTTTTCCGTTGTTACCGAGCCATTTGAACTGTCTGAACTCCGTAGTCGAAGTTATTACACAGCAAAATCCTTGAGTTTCAGAGCAGAGCCAATGGTTTTGCTTTATTGATCACGCTTTAGGTATTTTCCGATCTGGTTCTCCATGCCTCATAATGGAAGGCGAATCGTGTTACCGTGTAAGTAATCCTTTTTCCTACCGATGGATTATATCTTTATGAAGGCACCTTAGGCGTTCGTGCTGTCTGTTCCGGATAAGCATTCGAGGATGGTTTTGGTCAACGGGATTGAAAGGTACATACATGTTTGTGGTTCATCTCACTCACAGTCAGATCTCACACAAATGTGTTTTTCAAAAAAGATTGGTGATGTTGTTACTGTACAGGTTCGATGTTCTTTCCCATTGTAACTTAGATATTTATTCCGTTTTCGGCTGTCACCAATATTTCAGTTCCAGTTTCATTCGGTTTATCGTTGGACCTGCGCTTGTGCCTGTCATCTGCGCATTCCTCTTTCAGAATGCAATAAGCTCCATACACATGAAACTAGGATGCGGGCCGTTTTCAAAATAGATTGATGACAAAGCGCTTAATCCTTCCATCAACTAATCTCTGCTAATTCTGTAATACAGTGTCTTCCGGTAACGTGCTCTTGTCAGTTCGTTGTTGCTTTACAGGAGTATGGCCGTTACGCTGGAATCCTCATATATAACTAAGTAGCCTGCGAGATATGCGGCAACCTATGACTGTGAAGAATTCGAGTTGAGGATAACCCCCCACCCTCATCCCCGACTGCCAAGATCTGGCAATGGGTGTGGGCTCTAGAGCGAGATGCAGCTGGATGTACCTCGTCGCGAACTAAGTCAGATGAAAAGCGACGTAGTATAAATAAGTGAGAGTCAGATTGTGCGAAACATCGTCCGGGATATAATATACAAGGGGCAAGGGTAAAGCGGTATGTAAGAACTACTCAACTCTACCTCTCTCAATTTTCACACTATGCCACAGCGATCGCACAGCGACTGCATTTTACCTGCAAACTGTCTAGTAGGAGAAAAACTGAGCCCTGAATTCCAGACAGATTGCGGCTTCGATGAAGAAACTGTTGGTATTCGGCATTATAATGCTATCATACCCACATCCATCAATAAAGCTGCATGAAAGACTTCATTATCAAACTATGTGCGTGATCCATTGTCTCACTTCTCAGCTACTAACCTGCCGAAAGTTCCTTGTACTAGTAATTAACCTTCAGATTCACCACTAACCTTCAACACTCACTCATCCTTCCTCCAAGAGAGGCTCGCTAGCGATCTTGCGCGACGCGTCTCTTAGGAGACGTACTTCTTGAGAATTGATTGCATACGATCTCGTTTTCTCCCGTGGCTGTGCGCAGGCGGTAGAGTTAGGTAGCGTTACTGACCTGTCGCTCCCGTCTACTACAGCTTCCTCTATTATTTGTATTTGGACATGGCAATTTTAAATAAAAAGATTGCAATTCCAGCTAGGACTATTTTTTCCCACAAAGACAGTGCTTCCACTTGATCGTAAATTGGATCGTTTGTTGTTTGTTTACCTTGTATTTGAATACGACTCTATGAATCTCAGCATTTTCAATTGCAACACTGCGACTATATTTCTGTAATAAAGCCCTTAAAGGCACGATTCAAGTTAAAAGTGCTTTCTGACACTTCAAGCTAGGATAAACGTGTGATCCCATGGATAGGCAAAAGAACACTTTCTGGGCGAAAAACGGTCAAGATAGGGCGAAATAAGACAACGCAAAATCATCGTGAACTGAGCCTTCAAACCGTTCAAGGTAGCCTTGTTATTTTTAACTTTTGTAGACTAATAAGTCACTGAATGAGGTAGTTAGGTGCAAATGAAATGTCCTAACATGTTTGCGAACAGCGAAATTAGTTACAGATCTCAATTTTTTTACGTGCATGGAGTATTTTCAGAAGAGTGAGTGTGTCGAGATTGTTACCGTTGTCTTGTCACATCTCGCCTATTCAAACCGTGCCGAATTCTCGTTTCAAGATCAACACGGAGGTTAGTGTTACATTTCTTCCTTCATTGTGCAAAGAATCCACTTTACTAACCATTCATATCTGGATTCGCTTGCCAACGAAGTAAGTAGAGGGCACGGAAAGAAATACGCATCCGTCTGAAGATTTTTGAGTGGGTATAGGGTGTCGTAGGTTCGGAAGTAATCGAAGCCTTATGGTTAGACTACGTGCGAGTAGAGCTACGATAGGTTATCATTGATTTGCATTGTAAATCAATTTGGAATTTTTAGTTTTCATTCATTCAAGCACGGAAAACTAAATAAGCAAGATACATCTCATGGATTTGGAAGTCCCTCTAAACCCTCTCAATTTCAGCATCCAGAAACAGCACAAACTGCTCCGCCAAGAGAGCTATTTCCTTGGTTGTCTGTCGTTCCTTTATCCTATGAGTATTGGACGGAGACTTTCACTGTCCAGGTGATTTAGGCATTTTTTTGTTTATAATTTACATGAGGTCACTCTAGGTGATTTGCTCAGAGAACTCCTCTAGATTGTTAAGCTTTCGTAGTATTGGAAGGATTGCAGTGCTTATTGAATGGAAGCTATTGTATTCGTTCAATCGAAATTGACCAACAAGACTACTTTACTGTTATTATCATTATGCCATTCCAGTACCTGTGCCAGATGAGTCCAAACGGCTTCGTCATTCCCAATTCCGGTTTTGCCTACGTGAATTCCCCCTGGAGTTACGGTAAGAGTGAAATGAAGAATGAGTTCGTAGTAGGAGACATATCATATCTTTGTTGCACAATGCACAATTGTGCTTTGAAATTTCTTCTTTCCAGGCGGAACTGTTTCATCGTGCGAGTCCACGTCTGTTGTTGTTGGTGTTCCGCTAGATTCAAGCTATGAGTGCATGGTGGGATCGATATTTCTCTTTTCTTATCATTCATCTTTGGGTTTTGTTGATGATTATGAATTCTGTTTTAGACTTCGCACAGCTTTGAACATAGAGCCGTGTCAATGCTACCATACAACGCAGGTCGGTTTACCTCCGATTTTGGTCGAAGGCAACGTCTTTTTTTTTGAAAGGAGTAAATATTAAAAACGGGGGCGGCTAGTTTTCAGGTGTGTAGGGTAAAATTTACCCTGGATGGGTACGAGCCCTGCCGGGGCAAAAGCTTTTCCTGCAAATACAATGAAGATAACAGTGCCTGGCTTATGTTGACAGAATGGCCGATAGAAAACCCAGTACGAAACTGATCGTGAGCGATGAATGAATACGGCAGAAGTTCGTTGGAATGAGTTTACCAAACGAACGCTTTTTGAGAAGTCCAGAGAGGTTTCTGTTGCTGGGACACCCTAAATCTGTGCCTCCAGGTATCGCGACGGGAAGCAACAAGTGCCAGAGCCTGGAAGAGCTGTCGAGGTTTTTTATGTTGGCGAAAAAAACAAATGAAATCATGTGGCCATAAGAGCGACGAGTCCCTCAAAACTCTGTTCCTGCTGTCGTGTTCAATGGTCGAGTCTAAACTGTGAAGGTGAACAAGAAGGGAGGTCTGAAAGTAATTCTAGTCACACACCATAAGCCGTTTCCCGCACTTCAATGCAAGAGGGACCTGAGCTTGGACGATGCCTTCAAGTCAGTTGGTGAAGAGCTTACCATAGCGGTTGATCCGAGTGATTACTTTGGTAGTGGAATTGGTTACAGAGGCGAGGAGTAGAAGATAAAGAACTCACGGCCTAGCAGTCTGTAATACTATTCCCTCGTATAGGTAAGGTCAGAAGGCAACCTACAGGGGCGAATGGATACAAACGGAATAGCTATACACTCGTAAGAAGGCCCTCCCCCCGTCCCCCTCGAAGCTGTGATGAAAATCAAAGTTTTGCCCAGCGAAAATCTGGCTACATGGCATTGACCTGTCCCAGCAGATAAACTTTCAGGTTTCCCAACTCAACAATTCAAGCATGAAGATGAAATGAAAGGAGCGGAGGATCCGTTGGGGAAGTTGCACTGGGCCGAAAAAGAGGATCTTAAACGGAAGATACTGGAAACTGCTCTGCCTTATCCCGGAGAACCGACCCAGCGGACTTAAAGCTATATCGCGTCAAGCGAAGCAAAAGAAAGCCGCCTACAAGTGCTAGCAAAAGAGGCGAGCTCCAGAAAACCTAGCTGCCTACAAACATTTCTAGAACTCGTCAAGGTCGCCGTCGCGAAATCAGAGTATAGCAATGGACGCCCTGTGCTGTAAGCTCGATGGACGAGAGCGAGAGAAGTTCGTCTTCCTGCTGGCTAACGTACGACAACGGGCTACTCAAGACAGCAGACTAATGAGGGCTTTAAAGAATAGCGACGGTGCAATCCTGAAGAAACCTGGTGAAGTCAGGCGCATATGGAGAGGCTACTTCAACAGGCTCCTAAACGTGGAAATCCACTATGAGAAAGCTGCCAGGTAGAGGCGACGACTGGCTCCACCGTATTCAGGATAGAATATAAGGTCTGTCGAGCATTAGCACAGGTGAAGTTCGGGAAGGCAACTGGTTCGAATGGAGACAGAGAAGCTGATTATAAGTCTGTTAAACAATGATGTGTAGAGAAACAAAAGTGGTTTAGGGAATTGCTCAACGTCTGCTTATTTTAGGCTTCCATTACGTGTCTGGGAGCGTGCAGAATGGCGCACAATTTCACTGAAAGTACTCGAAAGTCCCACTATTTCGAAATCACTTAGAGCTGTCAGTGATGCTCTGTACTGACTCTACTAATGAAAAGCTTACACTCTTCACTCTAATTACTCGTGTTCAACATTATCTAATTCAATAATTTGGTAGCTGTTACAGCGAAGCTTTAATTCAACTTCCATCACTTAATTCTTTTTGTTAATAAAGCGAAGCAAAGGAGCGTAATTTTGAATTTTTTCTCTTACCTATCGTTTAACAAACCCTTAATTTTTGTTTTACTTATGTTAACCGTTAATTTCTCAGATTAGTTCTTCGTAATTATTAGTAATTTCTTTAATCATAAGAAAACGAATCACTTCACTTGTCTTCTCTTTTTATAAAGTCAACTTCACTTCATGATCTAGTTTGAATTTTCTAGATTTTCACAATTTTCGAACTACCTTTGTTACAAATCCAATGCTTTGTATTAAATCTTAAGTTCAACAGTGTCTAGTAACTTGCATTGACTGAATTTTTGATAGTTTTTAGATGCAGATGTTCTGATTTTTGCATTTTTGCGTGTATCTGTCCCCTCAGTTGTAATGAAGCATGATGTGCGACCGAGATGAACATCACGTGAAACATTGCCAGCACTCTCAAAAACTTGAAGGTCACACAGTTTTCGCGGTATAGCATTATTCCATCATAACTACTGCAGGTAGACCAGTCTCTATAGGGCCATCAATACCTGGCATACCAAAAGTTATCGTGGCCCTTAACACAATATTGAGCCCGGGTTCATAGGGAAGAGTCTTGACACGACTACAAAGGCTAGCTGGATACGAGAAAATTATCTAGTTTCAGTGAGAAGACAGAAACAACACGGGTAGGCCTCCTAGCGCCCGTAGCCGGTTACCCAACCAACACCGGTTCGATTGTTCACCAATCCGCTAGATGTAACGGAAGGACGCGTTGGCCATCCTTTGGTCACCATCAAATACTCTCACACCATAGTTAGTGTTCTGAAATGGAGTTTTGCCGAAGATTTATTGAATCGAAGCGGATGTACAGACGAGGGAAACTTCCCTCCATTCTTCACTCCAGCTTTATATATGTACGAAATCAAAAAATAATATGCTTAAGCAGATCAAGATTCAACATTTCGAGAAGGATATGATTAGTCCTTTTCATGCTATGGGAGAAGAATTTTGAAAACATGAGAACATGATTCTTCAAAAAGACCTTTAAGAGTTTCGAGTGATTGGGAAGTCTTCTATTATTGAAATATGCAGATTTATTCTGTGATACTACGGAACATTTAGTTACGATCACTGACTACATTCGTGGAGGCGCAATGACAATTCAGAGGCTCTGGTCATGGTTATAATGAGATACCCCTTTTCAGCCGAAAAGCGTAAGTATAGATTGGGATGCGTTTATTGGGAGTGAAGAAAACGATAAAAGTCTGAATTTTCAGAAAAATAAGGCTCCTCAAAAGTAATGAAAATAGAGGTTGGACGAGATTACCATGAGGGAAATGACATGGAAAGGGTACTCGAAAGAGATATCAGTTGTTGCCATTGCGCAAAGAGCTGGCTACATCAAGCCAAAACTGTTCAGGATTTGCCGTTCACATTCGCTATGGATCATGATAAGTTTTTTGAGATTCTTACATGAGTTTCCTGCTATGGGGGCAGCCTCTACAATGCCAGCGGGACTCGTCCGAGGATACAAACGGTACAATCTTTGAGCTGTAACACCCTAACTAGGCTGTTCTCCGACCTGATAGTGCCAGAGATAGTATACAAGGGTACCTCGAATTCATCCTGTGGGAAAATCTCAGGAACAATTTTTATCGTGAACTGTGCCTTTAAGTTAATCATAAGCTCCATTAGCGTTCGTATGAATGTGACTCAAAAGATTTATCTTAAGCTCGTGATTAACGTCAGCACACATGATGCAATCAAGATAAAAAAAAACAAAATCAAGTCGTGAATAATTATGGAAGTACATTTAAATGATACAATAAATATGTATGATACTCGTACTAATAGCAAACACATACAGTGGGGTGTACTGGTAGGTCAGGGAGGGTAAGTTTCAACTGAGGGGAGTGCGCGCTCAGATCTTTTACAGTATGAATGAAGGAGTGGTCAGTCGTCAGTGTCGTTCGTCGCTCGCGAACATGCCAATTGGTGGGTGCATATTAACCCCCCACCCTTCCTCCTCCCCTGATCTAACAGCACATACTTCATATATGGTGAAAAATGATTCTTGAATGATTCCAGTTGCAGACTAATTATCCAGTCTTCATTTACAGTTTGGTCTTCAACTAAGAGGAGCTGTCATTCTGAACATCTGTTCCTTTTACATCTCCTAGTGGTAAAGTACAAAAGGTCGATTAGCCGTTCTTTCCCAAGCCTCTTGAGTAAAGCTGACCAAGTTGATTAGACCACGGCAGGTTCCTTGGATTTTGAACTGAGTATATTGGAGAAAATTGTCTGAAAGCTCTCCACAGAAGCTAGCGCTCCGTAATCGATGAATCTGAAAAAGTGACAATATTGAGTGTTTTTTTTCTGTGAGGAGGTGTTGTATAATAATTATACTTAGCAATATTTGTAATAGTAATAGTCAGAGTACATCATACCTGATTTTGTTTATATCCTTGGGCGCATAAGCTCCTTTAACAATGACGGTGTCATGAGGTTTCTTGTGACCATATTTCTGAAAATAGATTTCTATTAACGTTCGAAACCCCAAAATTCACTTAGAACGAAACCTATCTACATCATAAATGATTTTGGAAAGGTATTTCTCAAGTGTAAGTGACTTACCTGCTGTAAAACGCTGGCATATCGCATCAAATCCGGTACGTGAACCATTTTACCTCCGACATTCACCAAGGCAAATCGAGCATCCTAAACGTGTGATTTCACTGTGTTGGCATCTTTTGTACGTCTTTTATAACGTTTCAAATACAGAGATGTTTAGTCATCGCTATGCAATGGCACGGGATACCCCGTGTCTTACCACAATCTTTTACTGAAATGATGTGATTGAGAGGGGGGACGGAACTTGCGTGCGTCCGAGGATGCGCGCGGCAAATTGCGCGTTGAAGTTCGTGGCGATTTCAGTGACTTTGGCGCCTATCATTGGGGCCCAAATTCGAGGAAGAGTAGGTTAGTAGGACTGGCTGACCCTACTAAACTACTCTACTTCAAGTTTGTGCCCCAATATTAGGCACCAGAGTTGTCTGGATTATCGCGAATTTCGCCGCGCAGTTTGCCGTGCGCATCCTCGGACGGACGCACGTATGTACCCATACCCGATTGCGAGACAGTTTGAGACAGGAACTGAAGTCACAAATAGTAATTATGGGTGCAATACATCTCGAGAACGTTAAAATACAGTCATACCTTGATTGCTCTTCCGAAGTAGTGAATTTTACGAATGTACTGAATACCGACCAAGTCGATGCACATGGTACTGCAACGAAAATTTCAATCAGTCATTTATGAAAAAGTTCCTAGTGTGAATCGCTTCATTTACGTTATTGCCAGTCCAATGATTATGTAGCAGAGATCGAGTAAATAGAACTCTCGGTTGATTGGCACGATGTCACCGAAACCGACCTGCAAAGAGTATACTGGAGATTGTCGTTCTTAGTTCGGTGGTAAGATTTTAGCTTGAATGAGCTCATTCGTTTTACGAGTTGTTTGGAATTCAAGAACTGATAGAAGCTGTTATTGAAGTGAGGAAATGTACATCTACATCAGTGTAATCCACCCTCAGCTGCCAAGTACTTTAACCTAGGCATACCCATGCATTACTCAGCTCCTCACATGCACTGTAAAAGTATATAGTCTAGACCCGGAGTACCTAAGAGACAAAACTAGCTATTTTCCACTGTCAAATCGAGTCAAGAAAGTTGGATAGATTAGCCAGCATTCATTAATTCCTTTATGGATCGGCTCGCATTAGACATAAACGCCCACTCATAAGGAATCGTATCTAGCCTTCCAAAATGTCTGCGTGGTTTGTTCTGGCAAAACTAAGTCTAGACCTGACCCATAGGTTCCGACAGTCATTGCCACTTCCTCAGCTTCTCCCAAGTAAATATNGAAGACTTAAAATTCAAAAGCTTATGTTAGTGATAAAGTAAACTTACAGTTGTCATTGTGATGAAGGAGAAATAAAATCCCGAGAAGAACTGCCAATTTTCCCATGAACCCAGCAGCACAGCACCAACAGCCATGTAGCCAAGTAATATTACAACAATCAGTGCCACTGGGATAGATATGTACTGCTCGAGACCCTAGACGGAAATAGGACTGAAACGATGTGGAGATGCCGGTAAAAACTAATTAATTTCTTCCTGCTGCTTGAATTAGAATTCCACGGCTTCATGTCAGTATTTGTTGATCTACAGAGAATGATCGCGTCTTATATAAGATGGTAAACAGTTAGGTAAGGTGGCCGAGAGCGCCCAGTTTTGTTAGGTCCTCTGACCTTCCCAGCCACAAGATCAGCAACACCGGCAGTTTTATAATGAATAGAAGGTTAAACTGCGTTCAGGAGAAGTAGAAGCCTCGACAAAAATTTGTGCGAGTAATAATTCTCTTATGAAGTCCTGATGTATGCGATGAAATCAACCTTTACTATGTATGTCTCATTTGAGAAGCAATAAAGTAATCCTCACCCGTACCTCCATCAATTGTTCTCCTTCTCGATTATGCTTATCCTTTGTAGGTAATGCAGCATAATTTGAACGATGACATTGTTTTCGAGCCTTAGAATACCTGAAACCGATGCTGATTATTTGTCGTCATAAATCCTCTCGAGACTAACCCGATATTGCATGATTCACAAGTTCGGTCAGAACTAATAATGTGGACGGCCGTGCAAGTCCACGAAAAAACTCCTAGAATTTCCTTTATTTATTAGTCTTTCGTTATTCAACATTTTGGTTGCAAGGAGCGCTGTCAACCTGGAATAGCGGCTTTTTCGCAGTAGAAAACTCTTGGCGTTGTGTGGCTGGTAGAAATCAAAACACCAATTAGTATGCAATGAAAATTCATGTTCCTGCGCGGAACCAAAAAAAACTGTAGAACTTCCATGGGTGTGGTGCCTTAGGAACGAAATGGTCGCGTCGCGGTGAGAGGGCGTCGCGCGCGAAGGAATGTAGCAGGATGCAGCAGTAGGNAAGAAATACAAGAACAAAAGCACTAATAGCAGAATTATGCATAAAATAATGATCGCATATCGATTGAGCTGTATGAAGAACGCTGGAGCTGTAATAACGGTGAACGAGTGGTCCGAATCGATTACCCAAAATCGTTCCTAAGGCCCGTCTCCCGAACTTCCATAGTTGCCATGGAAACTGGTTAAACAAGCCTCGAAAATGATCAAAATACCAGCGAGTAAAGCGTACTGTGGATGAAGTACAAACGCAAACGCAAACGTCCTGAATTTTATGTGTACAGGGTCCAAGTTAAATATTAAGGCATCATGCCTACTCTTACAACTGTTAAGTAGCTGCCCGAGGCTTGTTGAAGTTATTTAAATGTTGGAAGGCATGATCATTTTGAATGCATCACCTGTATACAACGTATTTTAGTGTTTACACTTCCTCTTAAAAGATATGTCGATTTTTTTTTGGATTTCTCGGATGCCTTTCAGGTTTTTGACTGATCATCATCATGAAACTTCCGCCCGAACGTACTGGGAAATCAGGGTTGAGCAGAGAGGGGTGCGCTTCGTTGGCGCGTCCGTAGAAACTAGGTTACGCCGCAGCCCTCTCATGCGGCGGTCAGTCCGCAATACTTGACAGACGTCGCAGTTGTCAGTGGGGCATACGGTTTGCGCTTGGTCCACGGCAGTCAGCCAATGGGAAGATAACATGGACAAATGCAAATCGTTTGCTCCACTCACACTTGATGGTACTGTAATGTCATCTCGAGACCTCAGTGGGGTGCGCCGCGCGCGAAGTGGGCGGGGTGACCTACTTTCGACGGATGCGCGCAACGGACGTTCGCCGAGCAGAGAGCTAAGCAGCAAGTGAACGAGCCACTCAAAGCAGCATCTATCTATTGACGGCCTCTCCAAAATATTTGTTGTCTGAACAAAAGCTCACCTCGAATATAGCCAAATGATGTTCTCCGAGAGAAACTTGCCAATATCAGCTACAGTTATCAAAATGAGTGGCACACCAAGAAGTGCATATGCTATGCAAAACATTCGTCCATGCCATGTGACAGGCACGAGATTACCATATCCTTAAGAATGAATTATCGGAGCCGCTGTGGAATCTAGAGTAGCCTTACGTTCATACCTATGGTAGTGAGAAGTGTAGCAGTGAAAAATAGAGCGGTAATAAACGTCCAAGAGTACTGAAATAGCTGTTTGAGGTATTCCACTTTATTTGCAAAGCACCGTCAACGATGATTTTAAGGCATCCTTTTCAGGTTATAAGAGGAAATTGTTTGTGGATAACAATGGATGAATGGCGAAAAAATCGAGGAAATTTGCAGAATTCGCGAAACATATGGCTTCTCGAAAGTAGTGAAAAGGAGGGGTTATGCGAGGTAACCATGAGGGGAATGGAATGGAAAGGGACTTTGGACGAGATTTTAGGGCACGAGGAGGTGCTCGGAGATGCAATTGAATAGGGAACTGACCACAGTACAGCCAAAAATGGCTCAAATTGCCTTCCCCTGTCGAATAGAATTGGCACTGCAAGAAATCGAACTTTTCTACTATAACGATCTTCATTTTTCTATTTTCTGCTGTTCGATCTTGACCTTTCTAATTTCTACGCGCCTAAGGTATACCGCTGAGCAGAGTCTTTGAATCAACCTCGAAGGCGGTGTCAATGGGTGCGCTTCGTTGCGTGCGTCCGTCGAAACTAGGTCACGCCGCAGCCGTCGCATGCGGCGGGTCAGCCCGCGATACTTGACAGACGTCGCAGTTGTCAGTGGGGCATACGGTTTGCGCTTGGTCCACGGCAGTCAGCCAATGAGAAAATAACACGGACAAATGCAAATCGTTCACTCCACTCACACTTGGTGGTACTGTAATGTCATCTCGAAACCTCAACGGGGTGCGCCGCGCGCGAGGTGGGCGGGGTGACCTACTTTCGACGGACACGCGCAGCGGAAGTTCGCCGGTGTGGATCAACTGCTTGAATATTTTACATATGTGCTCTACTACAAATGGTGCAGCATCTACATTGCCGGCAAAATAGGTCCATCTTCTGGTGTGAACACCGATAAAGCCGGCCTCGAGCACCTATTGCGCCCTGTCTAGACCGCTTCCATGTGTCATACTTGGGGTAAGATGTTCGTCCTGTTGGGAGACCCGGGAACTGCTTTTATCGTAAACTGTGCTTTGATGTCACGTTTACATAACAAATAAATCATCTCTTGATCCCTTATTTTCGGATAAAAAACCTCTCCATGTTCCTGTTTGCCCATTGTTGTAAATGATGCTGAATAACTGCACAGCACTCTTTGAACCTCTAGTCTCTCTCACGATTATGTTCACACCGGGATCCGGGAACTTCTCCCTGATGACGGCGTCGCGCACGCCGCACCCGCTGCTTGCGTTGCGATGGATAGGATTGCGATGGCAGATTGGAGCGCGCAATTTGGGAGGTAGGAACTCCTTTAATTATTTGAATTGGCTGACCGCTCTTTTCAATTTCAATGCAGTCTTGATCGTCGCTTACATGGGAAGAGTCATTCTAATTAATCAAGTCCAATAAACATAAAAATGAAAAAGAAATAGAAAAAACGATCAAATCTAATAAAAAAGAAGGGCAATTAAGAAAAATT